TTGCACACCATACATAATCTATCAACTTTAGTTTCTTTAACATATCTGTCAGTTTCAATTCGTGAAAAACATCTAAATTGAGCAAACGCGGCCCTGAATTTTGAAATAGTGAGTCCTTTTATATACAATTCTACGCCAAATGGTGCTTTAAACGAAATATATGTTAAATATTTAGTGCTGCTATCGAGGGCTGCATGCCAATCTTTCTCATAAGATATTTTAAGTCTGTATAAAACACCGACATAAAATTTCTAACACTAACTACACATTGTTCCTCTCAAAGATAGCAAAATGCATGCATGTAGAGAATGTTTGATTTTAGCGGCCCATTTAGTTTTCCCCTTGGTACAATCTAGAACTAAGAACTAATAACTTATAACATTTTTTCACAAATCTCGTATCAGGCATATTGCATATTTTACACCAATAAGTAACGGCCCTTTTATAAGTAACATTATACACTTGATAACGTCCACATTCTCCTCTGACAACATGGTTCGACTTTGAGGATTTAATCCCAAGAAATCGTTTACATGCAAACATTTGTAAAATGTCAACTTCTTTAGAAGTATCTAAGCCCCCATATTTCCAAACCATAGAGGAGAATAGGACTAATTTTGGAGTAAAAAATCTTAAAAATAGATGGCAATTGATTAAGTATATGTAAAGATTGAAGTACACTATACAAAATGTTTTTCGCTAAAGTCATGGATAAAGTCACAAAAACCTACATCGTTGAGCTACACTGGTTTGAGCCTAATGATTTATATTTCTCTGTTTGTTTCTTCATCATGGTAATCAAGGGTGACAAAACAATGACAGTAGCATGGCTTGTATTTTCTACTGCCTACTGAATTTCGAATGTCACATCTTCACCATTTAATTAGCTCTCAATCATTGTATTCTGATTTGGACAAATGCTATGTACATTTGCTTTCATCCTCATCAAAGTTCCAATTCATTTTACCCTGAGATGGAAAACATTTCGAAATCATTCCCCCTCCTCACCAGTGTAAAATGAATCAGTTAAAGAAAAACTTAGATTTTATACGTCAGCAGGTCTCTAGTGTAATCACACATGTTGTTTGTCTGGAATGAGAGAACAGGGCTGAAGCAGGAGGCCTTGGCTCAGTGTGGGGTCTTGGGCAGTGGTGGGGGAGGCTCCCATGAGTTGATATTAAACACTAGTGACAGCTAGAGATCAACTGATAATTACAAGCCATATTCTGGCTTGTGAATTCAGCAGATTGGTACAGACCCTGAAGCTGTTGAAATCTAGACTTGCCACATTTTCTAGACTTGCGTGGGATTTCTTGGATATATTTGTTATTGGTAACACATGTGCTTAGAATCTTGTAGAGAGTGTTTAATAATGAAACATGGCGCCAGCTTATTTTTAAAGAATTATCTATCGTTAATAGATTTTGGTAGGCAATTGATAACACCTCTGTTTTCAGTATCAGATAACTTTTCTTCCACAAAAGCTTCGGAAATAAACATGAAAATCTAATTTCCTATATCTTCCCAAAGGAACTGAAAGAACACTACTAGAGTTCCTGGGCTCATATTACTTTTCATACTTTGAACGACTGTAGCGATGTCTTCGAACATTATTGGCTGTTCCAGTCTATCAAATAAATCTTCTTTCATTACCGGGGTATCTATTATTTCCAATACATTTTCTGCCATCACATGGTCAGTTTCAAATTTCTCAGGATATAGCGCCTCCAAAAGAGATTTCAATTCATTTCTAGTAATACATCAGTAGTAATACAGTTATGACTATCTATTACGTTATTGATTAATTTGTTTGTATAAACTTTGTTTCCCAAACTGCAAAAGTAGTTTGAAGGTCTTTCGTCTTCTTCGTACCACGTGAGTGGTGTTGTGGTTAGGTTCCCCCTGTTTTCTTCTTCTTAAATATTTTCAAATGTTTTCTTTTATTTTGAGTGGTCGCCAGTTTCTTTTCAGATATATTTTGATAATAGTGTCTAATGCCATCTTCATTTTCAGTTATTTTGTTTTCTAGGTTTTGAAGTTTTTTGTACGTGATTGTTCTATTGTAAATGAAGAGAAGGATATGCCGTAGCCTCGTTTTTTCATAAGTAATGCCTCTAAAAACTGTCAGAGATCTTTAGCTTTAGGTCCACGTCATCTATACTGAGAGACAATGAAAACGCAATTCCATTTTCAAAGGTAACTGTATTAACATAGGAGAATCACAAAGCATATGCTATGTATGTTAGCAAAGTCTGATCACAGCAGAAAAATTCTGACCAAACCAGTGTCCACTATCACCAGTTTCAACACATTTACACGTGACTGACATAGCAAACTGTCAGTACCTCGTGTGTCCACCTTGAGCATGAACACATGCTTGCACACGTCTTGACATGGAATGACACAAACGACCGATCAAAAGATTCGGAATACCGTTCCATGGTTTCTGCAGTGCCAGTGTGAGCTCAGCAGCATTGCGGGGTGGATTCTGCTGATGTCTGATACCAAGTTCGTCCCACATCTGCTCTATTGGATTCATGTGTGGTGACCTGGAGGGCGACTGTATGACTTCCACATTGTTGTTCTTAGGGAAATTCCGTGTCAGGATGGCTGTTTGTGGCCGAGCATTGTAATGCTGAAAGACTAGTCGGTTACCACCATGCTGTCTCAAGAGAAGAAGAATCGGCTGGAGAACAGCCACGACGTAACGCCGCGAGGTCAAGTTGCCTTGCACAGTAACAAGCTGTGAACGAACATGAGCATTTATGGCACCCCAAACCGTTACTCTTTCTACACCAAAACGATCTCTCTCATTTATACAGGGTCGCACAAAGCGTTCACCTTGACGTCGATAAACACGTTGGCATCCATCTGGGAAAGAGTCGTTAAAGCGAGACTCACCAGGATAAAAACATTCCTCCAACCGACATTGCCTACGAAAACACCGGCTGCAGCCATCGCAGTCGTTGAAGTCGATGATGCTGAGTTAAGATCTGGCCTTGGTAAGGTCGACGTGCCCGTATTCCTGCTGCAGCCAGACGTCGACGCACGGTTCGGCTGCTGATGGGTCTCTCTCTGTTTCCAGTAGTGTTGTTGGCAGTCTGCAGCTGTCTCGAATCGATCTCGGAGGTGTTGCACGACGATGTAGCGGTTCTGATCTGCCGTGGTCACACGTTGAACGCCTGGGAGTGTCCGGTCCTCTACCCTGCCAGTGCCTTATGAGACGACTAACAGTTGATGGATGCACGTTAAAATGTTGTGCGACGTCGGTCTGGGAAGTGCCAGGTCGCAGCATTCCAATGGCTTGATGTCTCTGGTCTTGTGTTAATCGTGGCATGGTTCATATGGGTGCCAATGTCAAATCACACTGTGGTTTTATAGGGGACAATCATGGACTGTTTGCATGTAGTATCATAATGCATGTCGTGCACTTGCATGGCAGACTGCCACTTAAACATGTGTTCTGAAGTTTTGCTCATGACGTTGTGCAACGAACCCTACCAGTCTTTACACAAAAAGGCCTTACACCATTAACATGCTAAGATATGTTTTTCAATAAACTAATAACTGTGTAATGGTACTATTATTCGATTGGAAATGCTTATTGCGTTTTCATTGCCTCTCAGGATCATTATCGTCAATTTGATCAATATCCGCAATCTCATCTTTTGTTTCTTGTAAGATCTTCCGAACATTAGACACAAATTCCTTATTATATAGCAATTGGAGGCCATCACATGTGGTATTTGTTATATTATTGTGGGGTTTCTGGTATAAAATAAGAAGGTTCCCGGCAAATTAATCCGGTCGTGGGATGTGACAGTATGGTGCAGGACGTGTTCCGTGCCTTGGATGTATGTGGTATCCAGATTGCGTTCCACATAAACAAAACCTGGCAGCATGATATAGCCCCACTTTAATACTGTCACCGTCAACTAGTCCTGCCCCTACACAGGGAACATATACATTATGTTGTTCCAAACTATGCCAACAATTATTGCCTACATAGTAAAATATATACACATAGAACAAATATCGCAACACCTATGATTTTTATCCCACGTTTATGTTCATATCATAGTTATGTTTGTTTATATGATTGTTTAATCTGTCGTTGTTGTTTAACCATATATCAATTTTAGCTGTACTCTTGCTTCGATGAGAGGCGAGCATCACTGCAATGCGCGTACCCGGTATGAAGTAAAGTTTCATTGATGGTGTGGACAACATTGCTAGGTTGGTTATTACTTACGTCAAGAGGCGATATCAACACTGTCTTGGCACGCCAAGACACGTTTGGGACATTATGGCTCGCAGAATATGCCAGAGAGATCCTCCACTACAGAATCTTGGTGATTTCTTTTTCAAAAGCCGGTAGCAACTCTTGGCCCATAGAGCATCAATCCCAAAGAGCATGTTGTGGACAGTATGGGTCGGTGAATACGCCAGAGAGATCCTCCAATACAAAATCCTGATTTATTCTAACAAGCCCTCCAAGATAAATTCAAAGTCTGATGCAGTCAATAATGAGGAGGGTCATCGATTTTGATATTTGATATTTATCTTTTAATTAATCTTTGGGGATCAGTTTATCTGAATAGTAAATTAAATTACGGTTTAGATATGTTTCTTTGCTATCGTTAATGGTAACATATAAAAGCTATGACAAACATGGGTGTTGCGATATTATTTATCATGTGTATATGTGAATTGCTCGACTAACAATCATTCGGTTTGACCGTATCTCCATACATGTATACATAGAAGTATATTTTTTCATTCAAATCGATGATCTCAGCATCGGTAGTCTAAGAACAAACAAATAGATTCTTATACATGTTGAAGGACAAGATGATCAACCCCTACGTCTTTAATCTTCGTAGCGACTCAGTTAGATAGATAATTTTCTGAAAAGATGTTTACTTTGTGTAAGTGTCACTATCAGATTGGTGATACAGAGTATAATCGTAGACATTTGGTCAATAACATGAGTTACTTACCCTTGCCGCTCTGCAGGATCGTCAACAGAACCACCAAACTGAAGCCCGTGGAAGTCATCCTCTGTGGAGTGTTCCCGTTTCCTTCCAGAACAAAGGGTGCAAATTCCAGATGCCTGCTTAGAAGTCTGGTGGTGAAAATCAAATCAGCGCCAGAATGATCGACACCAGTCGGGTGGTACATCAGGTGTGTATAGTGATAAGGCTTCTACACACCCACTGCGATTTACATCCTGTTTTAGAGATGACTCATTTTGTCCGTGATGTTATATCAGATAGAATTAGTAACAAGTTTGTGTCGCATCGCAACGAGGAAGTAAAATTTCACCCTGTGAGTGAATGTTTTGACGAGCCAGTCAGCAACGTTAGAGTCAGATGAAAAGCCTTTTATTTCAAAATATAGGATTTGTGCAGAGGGTAGCTAGATAGCACGTTACAATAACGTTATGACATGATATGGCTATGAGTGAGTGCGATTAATATTTGCAGGCAATATTCCTGCAATAGAAGGTTTTGCAATTTAGTCAAATTGAAATAGGTTAGAATATTCTCACAAATTCCACACTCAAAGACCTGCCAAAGGCGTTCCCTGTACAAAACTCAAAACAAAATTTCGGTATGAATTTGGAAGAACAAAACCATCCATTCAACATCAACAAGAAGGTCTGTCGGCCCCATTTCCTCATCAACCATTCTTGAAAAACAACAAACTGGAACCTTGTCGGCATCCTCTGAAGAGAGTGCCCTATTTGAAGAACTTAACCAACAACTTCCAACCAAGAACTGGTGTCTAAACAGTCATTTTGTTAGATGAGCCCATCAAGAGATAGGATACAGTACTTTAGTTTTAGACCGACATACTCTTTTTGAACAACATGATATGAAATTTGTGCGCCCAGATTTTAGCCACCTTAACAATGTGAGAAAACAGTTTGTCTCAGTCTCATTACTTCATCGTCGTGTACGGCTAGTCCATCGCTATATCCTGTGCATATTTCGGGACGATGTGGCTGTGGCCTCAAAGTTGTATAATCATACATTTGTCTTCAGGTAAATAAATCTATCTATCTGTATTAGAACTAATACCTCCACACATAACACTTACATTTTGCCACCTTCTAAAAGGCCCTGCGAATTCATATAAACTCTCAATATGAACATGATATATTACATCAGCTGTAATCCTGTAGCTGAATATAACCTGATATACATACGCACACACACACGCACGCACGAACACACACACACACACATATACATACATACATACATACATACATACATACATACATACATACATACATACATACATACATACATACATACATACATACATACATACATACATACCACCATATATATTCTTATGCATTCCACCATACATAGAGTTTCCTCTTACACATTCATCATTGACATTGAACATTGTTCCTTGTTCCTGCCGCCTGTACAATATGTACGTCCTCTCTCTTTATCTGGTTTTCTTCGTCCATGACAATTATCTTTCATGTGTGATGGTACCCGCGAAGACCCGGGTTAGAATTTCTCAGCAAACCATGCTTGTCGTGAGAGGCGACTAAAGTGATCGGGTGGTCAGGCTCGCTGGCTTGCTTGCACATGTCATCGTATCCCAATTGCGTAGATCGATGCACATGCTGTTGATCACTGAATTGTCTGGTTGTTTTTACAGACCGCCTCCATATAGCTGGAATATTGCTGAGTGCCCAGTTAACAACCACCAAACCAATCGTGAGTGTTGGTATGCATGTAACGTATGCTTGTAAGCTTCGGGAACTGATTCAAAAATCTCCAAAACTGTATCGTTAATAATATGATAATCAGAACTTCTCAGTGCATAAGGTAAAACATACCCCTGAACTTAGCCCTTGTATACAATTTGTAAGCAGGTTATCCAGTACGCATGTGTCCATTCTATACTGTTAGCCTGAAAGTCTGATCTGTTTGGGGATATGAGACCCTCTATAAGCCGTTGAGGGACTGATATAGATGTCATTCTGTGAATTAGTCTTGCTAAATACTTGTTAGCTAATCCGTGGGGTAACAAAAGTAGAACCAACCTTCCCTAAGCAGACTTAAACATGTGTCCATAAGATTCAGGAAGTGATATATGGGGCCATGAGGTAGTATTTTAATTGTATCAGGATTGAGCACATGTTGCTTTGTTACATACAATGCTCAACTCTTTAAACGCCATAACACTTTTCCAGTACAATCTGGGTGGTGGTAGCCTAGCGGTTACAGCGTTCGTTCAACACAATGAAATCAAGGGTTCGATTCCCCAGGAGTACAATGTCTCAAGTTCATCTCCTATGCCTCCTACATGATATTGCTGCAAAACTGCTAAAAGCACTATACACTCACTCACACTTGTACAACCTATGAACATTCTCATGCATTTGTAAATGTGACTGTTGACAATAAGAATGGTCGAAAAATCAGCTATATCGCTAAGGCGTGCTTCTTGACATTTCGTTTATAATAGGCAATTATAAAAAAACAGCTCCTGCTTTAATGTACACTACAAAAATAAGTTGGTTCCCGGAACACGTAAAATGAGAAGAAACGCAATGGAAACCACCATTTCCAGTTGGTTTCCAGGTAATTTTCTATAGTTTCATTGTGGTTTCCATGAAAACTGAAACCGATTTTTGCACCATTTCCGGTTGGTTTCCGGTGCGATTCATTACCCACTCCTCCAAGCAGGATCCAGCTGGTTTCCATGTTTTCGTTTATTGCAGGTTTCAACCTGGTTTCCATGTTTTCGTTTATTGTAGGTTTCAACCTGGTTTCCATATTTTCGTTTATTGTAGGTTTCAACCTAGATTCCATGTGTTAGTTTACTTTAGGTTTCAACCTGGTTTCCATGTTTTAGTTGGTTGTAAGTTTCAACCTAGTTTCCAAGTTATAACCTAGTTTCCATTAAAACTGAAACTCCATTTTGCACAAGTATCCGGATGGTATCTATGTCGTGACTTTACACACTCGTCCATGGATGCTCCAGCTGGTGCTTAGTTTATTGTTGTTTCCAACCAAATTTCTAACTTATGACCTAGTTTCCATGAAACTGAATCTGTTGTGCCGGCCCCTTACCCGCACCACCTGAAAAGAGGTTGTGTTCCATGCAGCATGTAGCAAACATGCTTGCAACTGTGGTCACTGGAAGGAGGTCACGACCCTACCTAGATACGCTTTGGTTGCTCACTATTACTATCCACTGGCATGGCTCAGGGTGTTTCTTGTATGTGTCTACAATACGTTGGCGTCTTTGGGGTTAACGCCACTTTGAACGGCAATCCATGATGCATGAAGACCTTTGATATTTAACACACCCAGATGCTGAAATACATATGCAGACTGATAATATACTGACTGACATGTAATGTTATATTTCTGGTGTGTGTGTGTGTGTGTGTGTGTGTGTGTGTGTGTGTGTGTGTTTGTGTTTGGGGTTGGGTTTCAAAGAGCCCCCAATTTCGTATCAAGTTAAGCTTATGTCCCCAATAGAATAATCATGTATCTGTCCTGAGTTGTAGAACGGTACAACAGGTTGTTGTAAACTGGAAATCGATTGCTTGTATTGAATTAATAACAAAATGCGTTCGTGTCTGGATAAGTAAATAAATGATTGTATTAATGCAAAATGTACACAGAGCTGGAACACTTCCTCCAGGCGTACAAAACATCTATTGATATAGAGACCGCTAGATTATTTAGGATGTCATAACTTATGACATATTTTTTTCATTGCATATTGATCTCTTATCGCGTACACGTGAGTTGATGATCATTTTCAGCTTCATTACAAGTACAGAGATATATAAAGTTATGTGGAATGATTGATATTATGATTGACAAATATGACATTTTAAGTAAAAATGATTCCATAACGTCTTGTCATGCAATCTGGAGGTTGTCCGGAATTATTCTCTGCTTAGATAAAGCGGATTCTAGAGCTCATCCAAACCCTCTATAGCGGCATCGATTAAATCAAACATTACACGCGTTTCATTGGCCGACGTTTTTGTGCTTGGACAATTTGAAAGCAATATTGTACATAAATACAGATTATGAAAAAGAAGTCAGCTTGCATGTGCCGGTGTGTTGAGGTCCAGTCATCACCAGATTCTGATAAAACAGAACTATCCTTTTAGGAATGTCTTTGGTACTTTTAGACAAAGTCGTAAAATTTCATTTGCGTATTTTCACTCCTTAACAGTTACAGTTGAAAAGTCATAGCAATGATCGATGCTGGGCCACATGTCATAATATCATAGCAATGATCGATGCTGGGCCACATTTCATAACGTCATAGCAATGATCGATGCTGGGCCACATGCCATAATGTCATAGCAATGATCGATGCTGGGCCACATGTCATAATGTCATAGCAATGATCGATGCTGGGCCACATGTCATAACGTTATAGCCATGATCGCTGCCGGGCCACATGTCATAATGTCATAGCAATGGTCGATGGTGGGCCACATGCCATAATGTCATAGCAATGATCGATGCTGGGCCACATGTCATAACGTCATAGCAATGATCGATGCCGGGCCACATACCATAATGTCATAGCAATGATCGATGCTGGGCCACATGTCATAATGTCATAGCAATGATCGATGCTGGGCCATATGTCATAACGTCATAGCAATGATCGATGCTGGGCCACATGCCATAATGTCATAGCAATGATCGATGCTGGGCCACATGTTATAATGTCATAGCAATGATCGATGCTGGGCCACATGTCATAACGTTATAGCCATGATCGATGCCGGGCCACATGTCATAATGTCATAGCAATGATCGATGCTGGGCCACATGCCATAATGTCATAGCAATGATCGATGCTGGGCCACATGTCATAACGTCATAGCAATGATCGATGCTCTGCCACATACCATAATGTCATAGCAATGATCGATGCTGGGCCACATGTCATAATGTCATAGCAATGATCGATGCTGGGCCATATGTCATAACGTCATAGCAATGATCGATGCTGGGCCACATGCCATAATGTCATAGCAATGATCGATGCTGGGCCACATGTCATA